AGCTCAACACATTTGGAGCAAAGACGTAGGTCACAGACGATCAAACAGACATGGGAGCTCACTGACTCGACTCCTGGCCTGTCGGGGTGGCTAAGACATCGCCTTGCCCAATCTGCCGTAGACCGGCCAGAGACTTCCTGCGGAGAGCCGAACGTCATTTGGTGATGGCTTCGGGAGTATCGTGGCGACGACTTCCCGAGTCCCGAGCTAGCGTTGAAAGGTTGAAGCCTGTCGCCCTGAGGACATTCGAATTTCGTCTGTACTATATCGCTTCAAATATTCATGCAAAGGGTCCTGGCTCTCGTACAAGCCCCGTAGTTTACCGTCAGGCATCGGGAGACCTTATTCGTCCATGAGACGAGAGGTATATACGAACGGTCTTGACGGTCTCCAAAGAATGTTTCGCGGCTCTCTCACTGGATGAAACAAAATCACGCCCGGGTAGGTAATTGCACACAATTGTTCGAACTCCCAAGATGTTATTTGAAGTAATGCTATAACTCACAAGCGAGGCATTAAATGGGTGTGCGGCTGAATGTCTGCTTCAGCCTGTGGGGCTCCAACGGCTCGGTCGAAGTCGAAACTGCTCATTTGTCCAATACGGTGGGGTCCATAGAGTAATAATGTATTTTTAGTGGCCCGTTTGATATGCTTATTCATCGCATCTACCACTTGCAGATACAATACTACCACCTTCATGTTGCCGGTCAATATGGAGTCGCTTGGAGCACTTCCCGACACATTCTCTCAACCTTCCGAGCCGGGATACTCGAGAAGAGCGCCTGAACAGTCCAAGAGAGGTATAAAAACGAGCGCAATCCAACCTCAAAACTCCAGAACCGAAGCAACCAACTTCACTTCTACTACCATTCTCATCATATACAATGTTCTTCAGAACCGCAACCATCTTCTCTGCCATCGCCGTACTCTTCGCCGGCCAGGCCATGGGTGCTGCCTTGATTGCTACCGACCCAGGTATGCAATCTCGATAGTCGACTCGGGAAACATTACTAAACCACGTCTTTGATAGTTTCTGCTTGTGGGCCACCTAACAACAAGGACCACCACGCTGGAAGCAGCTGCAAGTACTACGCAGGTCCATCTGACAGCTCACAAGTCATCTCCGGCTGTAAGTCTCCAAACATCCCTGTGTCCGAGAATAGGCACTGACATACGCCCCTGTAGCTTGTGTCGACAAGAGTGGAACGTTGACCTGTGTTGGTTAAATACTTAGCCGACTAAGACGAATGACGGAAAGAAAGAGAGAATATCCCGAGTTTTCGATTCCTAATGTGTAAATATCTATCGTTCGAATGGAACTCTAACTAATTGAACTCGCCTCGACTGCTATGATGCTGGGTTATGATTGGTGCAGCGGTATGAAGTGCTGTATTCGCAGGTCATGATCGCAGCGAGAGACGGGCCAAGACCGGTGATAGCGATTGGGGTCGAAACAGGGAGTGCTGTTGATCTCTCCTGGTAAATGAGCACCGTAAAACCGGTCAGAGATCGGTCGGCGGTCGAAGAGGAAGTTTCCACGTCCAGAATTACTCTGAGCATGGCAGAGGAGTGCCATCTGAGCGTTAAAGATATCCCCGGGGACATTTTACGGACCTCGTAGGCACGAAGCTTACCTGACGAGATCCAATCTGGTGTTGCCGGTAAGACATTTTGCCAGTAGGATTATCCCATGCACTGCTTCTCAGCCACCCAAAAATGACGCATATCTGGACAGCGTGTGCCATATTGAGGGATCTCGAGAAGTTCAACTCGAAGGATTGTAAGAACGCTTGATGGTTCGTTCTTCCTCGAGTAGAAGATCCTCTGTAGGAGGTTTTGGACTGCTGTCCATCTGCTCGTGATGATCTTCGATTACGGTAGGCGCTATGACGACGAAGAGCAAGGATGGTGAAAGAAACTATGGGCGGTGGGGCAGTGGTGGTTCGAGTTCAAGGGGTCCAACACTCACGTGAACTCTCCAGGCGCTGAGCGCTCTGCACCCGAGGCTGTACAAACTCTCTGAAACATAAAAGGAACGACGAGAAGAGTTCTATCATAAGATATATCGAGGTGTAAAACATTGTACAGATCAGTGCAGTGGTATACTTGGATCAGAAGATAGATCATTAAGACCATCACGGAACCATGAAAACTCATATCCTAAAAACCTCGATATCAATTGTCCACACCGCACCCGCCCCTCCCCCTCTACATCAAACCGTCGCCGCCCAAACTTTCATATCAACCCGCCGTACCCTCTCTATCCCAAACCAAGGGTACGCCAACAGATCCCTCGGAGTCTTCCGTTTCTCATAATCCTTATCCAAACAAGCATCCACGAACCCACACGATTCTTCGGGAAACCCTCCATCTTCTTTCAACCGAGGCGCAGGCTCCCTCACAATCAGATGCATCAACTCGAGTATACTCATCGTCATCGCTCCCCCATGTAACGACACACCCCTCGATCGACGACGAGTCGATCCCTGACCTCCTGCATTCGGAACAGGTAACGTCGAAGGCGCAGGTACAGGCGGTTGTGCATCTGGAGGTAACGGAGGCAACTCCTTCTCCTCGTCCACACGCGGTAATTCCTTCTCTACCTCCTCCCTAGAAGGTATCACCAACGAATTAGGTCTTGAGCTCCCGTTCGCGTTGGCGCTAAACGGGAGCCCAAGTCCGCCGGGTGTAATTGCAGAGTTGAGATCGTCGGAGTAGTCGGCGAAGGGAAATCTTCCGTGTGCGAGTTCGACGATGGTTATTCCAAGAGACCATACGTCGGATCTGATAGAATACTCTGCGCCTTGAATTCGTTCGGGCTGATGGGAAGAATAAATGCTGTCGCGTCAGCCCGAAGCGATTAGAAGCGAACGGAGGAACGGAAATCAAGGGACATTTGACGTAGAAAATTGAAGCACGCGAGGGCACGGATCGTGACAGCCGACAGCGAATATGAACGTGGTATGTTTGGAATGAATAGGAACCAAAAGCAAGAATCATAAGGACGTACGCTCATGTAGATCGATGTTCCAACAAAGGTGTTTGCCAGCGAGTTGATGAGTTCGCCGGAAACACCAAAATCGCACAGCTTCACATCGCCTTCCGAGTTGAGGAGGATATTTGAAGGTTTGATATCTGAAAAAACACCATCAGTAAACGACGCCAGTGCTAGATTGTACAGGGTCGATGTTGAGTTGAAGGATGCGACGGGCGTGCCGGAATTCAATCAGAAGAAGGGGGCCAGAACAACGCCAACGCCAGGCTAAACGGGTAGAGAAGGGTAGGAAAGGAGAAATGAGGGTGAGAACGCACCTCGATGGATGATATGGTGCTCATCGTAAAGGTAAAGCAGCCCCTTCAGTACGCTCTCAGCTACCTTCCCAACAACGTCGATATCGATGGCTCCAGTTCGCTTGTATATTCCATCGAAGCTTTTCTTGTCCATGAACTCCATGCAAATGCAAATATTCGGGTCTTGGAGGAACGCGCCGTAAGAGGAAACGATGTGCGGTGAATCGCACAAGTGCATGATGTGGAGTTCGCGTAAAATTTGCTTCCTGACTGATGGTTTCGCGTCTATAAGCACGACCTGACGATGTATCAGAGAGTAGTTAGAATGTAGTGGCATCAGAACGCACCTTCTTCGCCATAATGATCCCGCTTGGTACGTGCTCGACCTTCATCACGGATCCTCCATTGCCCATCCCCAATTCTGCTATGTTCTTGAGCTCCTCAGGCTTCGGCAAAGACTCTAATATTCTCCTTCTCCCACTCGAGCCATTCTGACTCCCGCTTTTACTCGAAGTACCGCTTGCACCGTCACTGTGACCGTTCACCTTCGTCTTGTCGTTCATATCCATCTTCTCCATCTCCTCGATCGCTGCCTGCAGTCTCTTCCTCTGCGCCGTGCTCGACTCGGGTGATAGTGGATCGTTATCTGGATGGCTGATGCTAGGCAGACGACTACTGGATGCCGTCGTGATTAGCGGTGGCCTGGGTCCTCGAGGTGCTTGTCTCGTTGCCGTTGGTAGCTGGAGCGACTTGATGTTTCTTTTTTTGGATAGTGACCCAGATCCTTCAATCCCGTGGCCGTTTATAGGTGGAGGAGGTGGTGGTGGTGACATGATCAATGTTGGGTGAATTTGAGTCGGACGAAATGTGGGTGTGGGTGTAGAATGGAACTATAACGTGTATTTGAGTGCTACTGGACGCGATTGACCTCGTTCTAAGGTAGATGCTGCGTCGGTCTTTGTTGTCGATGCGGATTCTTGGTGACCGAAACGACCGTGATTGTCAGCATAGAAACGGTAGAAATGTCGATTATAGAGCACGCACATATAATTTCCGTCTAAAATATTACTCCTTGTGCTCTTTTACGGCCCCTTTAAGGCATGGCAGCGTTGCGTTGGAGATGGTGGTGGTGAGACGACAAGCTGTGAGATAAGATAGACGCCCGCCAGCTTTGTTCTTATCCGGAGAATCTTATCTGCGGTGCTCGCCAGATCCAACAGCCGAGAGCCAAGTCGAAATTTTGGCAGCCACATTCTCCGAGTGTTGACATTCACCATAGAGTTGAGTTGTATGCCGTCAAGAATAGAGCTTCTTCGCCCCCCGGAATAAGAAAATGAGGCAAATAATCAATGATAGTCGAATGATAGTCCTTGCCGGGACCTGGCGGAGTACCTCATCATTCATAGAAGTACGTCTACGTATTTGGGGTCCTCAGGACCAATTGACTACGCTGTGGTTTTACTATGAATCTACGCTTCCTGCACCCCAATTCATGGAGCGAGCTCCACGGACTGGTGCTCTACACGCTTAAAGCGGCCATCCAGGAGAGGTGGGAGGAGAGACTAGCCCTAAAGGAGAGAATGAACAGAGTGGAGTGTATTCTCTAGCAGTAGAACTAGAATACACATAAAATGAGAGTCAGTCCTGAACGCTCAAGGAATAGTTAGGAGATGCAGTTTGATATATTTTCTATGTAATTTCCCCATAAGTGCCCCATGGCTGAGTTGGTTACAGCGTCCGACTGTTATTAAGTTTACACTAAGCAATCGGAAGGTCGTGAGTTCGAGCCTCACTGGGGCAGCTTAATTTTAGTCCGCGTCGACCGACACCGACCCTCCCCTTTTCATTTTAATTCCACCCGAAATACCGAGACTAGTGCCAACCAGTAAATCCGACGGACCACAAATTCGACTAAAGCTTGAAGAGCTCCCGCCATTCGATAGTATGACAATGCAGTTCACTGACACCTCGCTATTGAGTGATCCAGAACATAATTTTTCGAGGGAAACCCACCATAAAAGCACGATTTACGAGTCTTGAGTGCTCTTTCCCGAAGTGTTACACTTTTTCCGGCCTGAAAACGAGCCTGAAATGCGATTCCTTTCCCGGCGCATACAGTGAATATAAATGTTCCGGCGAAAAACCACGGGCCAAGTGACCATATTAGCAATCATCCAAGGGTTCAGCGGCTTTCGAACGAGGAGTTGACCGTCTCAAAGTGAATTGTCCATTATGGTTAACGAGAATTCCGCTCAAACTCTTTTGTGAATGGCCGCATTATAAACAGGAATCGCTGTAACATAAATTGCTGGGTGACCAGAGAATGTATGCTCTAAGAAGGAGAGAAATATACGTAGAGTCAAATCCCCAAGACAGGACAATCCCATCCCATATCTTCAATGAATGGTTCGGGCGAAGCGGCGTCAGAGAGACGGAGAATGGAGTTGGATTAAGTCGCTGTCCCTATTTGGTACTTGGTTACCTTCTATATTTGGATGATTTACATCTGCGTTTCACTTATCCTGCTCACTGCTCAGAGGTAGGTCGACCTCATCCTACTGCTTGATAGTGTACACCAATACACATATACCATAGCTATCAATTCAACATACTATTGAACGTTCACTATTACTTTAGGAGTAGGACTCAAAGGAAAGTAATTTTGGGGGAACCAGGAACCGGCCAAGAAGGATTTTCTGAAACCTGATGCCTTTCTGTTTGGTTCTAGCGATATATTCCAGTAATAAGAAGGGACTTGTCCCAACCTCGAGTCGGGCGAGTAGCTTTACAGATGTATTGGATGTGCGGGTCCGGGCGGAGGGAGTGATATCAGTACGATGCCTACTAGTACCTACTTGAAGTGATGCTTACCAAATATCTAAGCTGGCTGGACAACCACTTCACTCGAGCCAATAAGATGACGAGGTCGAGATTTGTCTGTGGGTATTCGGGCAAACACGCGATGAGGGGTTTTCCTCCGACCGTCGTCGCCCATATGGACCTACTCGCATCTACTCGTGGTCGCTTCGTTAGCGCGACGCTCTCTATCCACCATTAAGCAACAGTTTAGGCTTCGCCAAGCCTCGAAGCTTTAGGAGTCGACGCCACTTGACTTCAAGTGGTAGAAATTCGGTCATCGTGATTACACTCGACAGTCAGCATCTTTTCTATTCACCGAGGAGTAACTATGCAGGGTTAAATCCCGCCTCCCAGATATGCACTGCTATCAATAGATTCTCCTTCACAGTGACGGGCCGCTCACCAAACAATTATAAGGCACCACTTCGAGTTAGCCGTTGGTTTATCGGCTCGAAATGGCAAACTCGAGCCGGAGTAGATATACCTTCTCAAGTTCGGGAAAGTATTAACGTTCCCATCTCCATCTTCCCTATCTTTGACCGATGTCTTTCTCACTTCCCATCGAGGACCTTCCGAGGCTCAAAATTTCGGTTCATGCATCTTCCTATGGCGAACCGATGCTGTCCTTTAACTTGGCGGGGCCTTCAGTGTCACAGCACCAATTACTGTCGTGTAGCGGGTCGTCCGTCAACTTCCAACCTTCTGCCGATAATAGGGGCTGGTTCCTCACCATGCATACTGGTGTGGCGAACCCCTTCGGAGATAATGTCTTCAGCTCAGACCCCGCTCCCATGTCTGGTAAGGATATTTAGCTCCTATCACGCAAGGGATCGAAGCTAAAGTGAAGTGAACGACAGTTCTGACATCCGACCTGGATATCAATCACTCTGCATCCCCTTCGTCTACAGGGACAGCGGTAGAACTCGTTCCAGAGACGGACTCACTGCTCGCGTGGATTGACACACAAACGGACTTCGCCTCCACAAAGAGTCCCTATGTCAATCTACCTTTCTTACCTCCGCCGACTCAGACCCAGGCTATGGTTTCCTGTATCCCAGGGGTTCCCGAGCCGATATCGTCTCCTAGCCTCTTTGCCACGAGTCTCTTTCCCCCGTACCCGACGGACCCAACGCCCGGCTCAACCTTAACGTCTCCCGCGGTATCGGACCGTACTGATGCCAAACCTTCTGAAGAGAAAGGTCCCGCTCCTCCAACCGGCAAGCGAAAACGAAACAGACGTTTCCTCCCGTGTTTGGACCCTACCTGCAACCGCCAATTTACGACCGAACACACACGACTCATGCATATGCAAACTCATCGCCCAAAGGTTCAACCCTCGTTCCCTTGTACAATGGGTTGCTCGGAGCAGTTCTCACGGCGCCACGATCGATTTCGACATGAAGTGAGGAAACATGGGTATCGTAGTGAATGGAATTGTGCGGAATGTTGTGGGGTTTTTTCGAGTGAGAGATCGCTGATTGCGCATAAGTGTGAGGGGAAAGGTGTAAAGTTCAGATAGGAAGAAGCTTGTGTATGAGACGAGGGAAGATTGTGACTGAAAACGACCTTGTAGGCCGGTTTAGACTTGTACAACATTTGAATTATTTCTGGAAGGAGCTTAATATAATGTATAACACCGGAGATAACCTCCTTTGTACATCTAATTTTGCCGCCAAGTCAAGCTTATCACATCGGGTGCAAACATCAGTTAATATTGTAGCCTAGTTTCTCGAGACTGAGTCCAGCTTAGCCTAGCTCAATACTATACACGTACGTATGTGGCGGACGAAGTCTCAGCGATGTTTGGCTTTTTTTTTCTGAACCCATGGCGTCACTTTCTCTTCCGATGATGGGCGCAATGGATGCAGTCTCTTTCAACCTTATTGCTCTTCCACCTCCTTGGCTGCCTTCGCCTCCCTCCGAGCCCAGCTAGCCACGCACGCTAAGCATATGAAAGCAACCGTGGCAGCCGCCCCAATGATAACGTTCTCGGTGGAGTCTGCTGCCGTGTACCCCGTCTGGGGCAGCGGAAGTTCTGTCACCTGTTGGGCGGGGATTTAATCAGCGTAATGGACGAGAATGAGTAGCACGGGGTTATGTATCAGTAAGCCCTGTACTGGAAGTAGGAGGATCCCGCTGGTTTATCTGATTAAAGCGAACTTTGGTATGAAACATGGAAGCCGTACGAGATTATAATCAATATGATGGAGAACCAGTCTACCATGGTTCTATGTGGGTTTTGTGGGGCGCGCACAGCGCCAGCGTGAAGGCGCAAAAGAGAGCTGATCTTGTTCACGAAAGTGGGCGGGACCTGTTCTTATAGGGGATAAGATGCGGGACGATTGATTAGCTATATATACCTTGAATACTATTCTGTTTGATAAGTGGATAAGTAGTTCGTCTGTCATGGGAACCTGATAGTGACAAGCCAAGAACTCAGGAATGCTAGTACTAACCGATCACAGTCTAGATTGTATGAATAGATATGTGATTCATACAGACTCAAGGTATCCTATTTCGTGAGAATGTTCAAATCGACTCCGCACTCACCAATTCACAGCCAAACCCACGACTGATGTGTATTCAAACCACCGGCCGAAGTTACGGCTCTCGTTGGTCTGTACGATGAGCTGCTTGGAGTAGTTATCTCCACGCCACCACTGGTTCAAACACGAAATCCGGGACCGTGTGAATCGGATTGAGTGGAGTTATGTATAGTGTCAAGTTCTCTTCGAGTGAGAGGTCACTTGTCGCGCATAAGTGAAGAAAGGTGTTAAAAAGAATTAAAAAGGGGTGTTTAATTCGAGGCAAGTACGCGGTGGTATGATAGGACAAAAGAGACCCTGAAAAATGCCTTCCAGGCCAAGGACAACCTGTACGAAGTTGTACAATTTCTGGGAAGCATCTCAATCCAAGAAAAGGCAATTCTTGAGGCCGTACCTGCAACATTTGATCTTACGTATCGTATATAATCGTTGTGTTGAGTCGAGACCGATGTTATACGTATATATCTAGCGAGAATTTTTAGACTCGGGTAGCACCTCAAGCGTTTTGAGTCTGTCCCCTCGGAAGATGGCAGCACACCCTCACAGTTTCCCCCCTCGTTGGATGACCGTAAGTTCTCTACTCCTGCCCCCGGGAGGATCACAGCACGCCCTCAGAGTCTGCCCCCCTCGGAAGAAGACAACAGCCTCTTTCGGCTTTCTGGACACCTCTCTTCATCTCCCTTTACTGATTTGATGGCTTTATGAATGTGACAGGAGAGCCAAAGGAGTTGCAAAACCGCTGCGATCTTCCCTATTGAATCGCTGAATTCGAAGGCGATAGTCCCCCTAACCCCACCCTCCCGTACCCGGGCTTCGAGAAAACGAATGATAGCGAGGGAGGATTGTATACCCGTTCTGATGACTCCCTGCCGGGGCACGATTCCCAAGTCTCGTGCTGAGGGGACTAGGGATGTTCTGTAGGTCATTTGTCCAAGTGAGCCACAAACGGATAACGGTGGGTCGAGACGAAAGTTAATGTAACGGAGAATCGATCTGCCACGGTGTCTTATGTGATATGGCCAAAGCTATCACGAAGGTAGGGAAAGAGAGTGGTTGTTACAGAGGACGAGAGACGCGGCATGATAGTTGGTAAAAAATACTGTGGTTGTATCTTGAGCATCCCCCACTTGAGATGCCGTACAAAAACGATCTTGATGACAACATGATAAAGGTGATGTGGGGCTTGTAATTGAGCGCTATTGCGGGTCTCTTGAACTTTACGTTTAAGAGATTGCACTGGTTCGTAACTGTGGTATCGCGATCCCCGTTTTTAACAAGAGATAGGTATACTAATAGGTTTAAAAGGTGGGGCAGAGGGAGCATAGATAGCAACGTATTCGACCTTACCGCGAGTGGGTTGAGCATCATACTCTACTTTGGTGCCCCCTAAGCGCAA